TTTAATTCCTTGTTGAAATCTCTTACATTGGACTCTCTTGGTCTTTGATTAACATTGAGTAATTGAAGTTATTTTTGTCTCATTTTTATTTATCTATTACTTACAAGTCTATCTGATCATAAAAACTATGAAAGTACTTTTTGTATTATACGATAAAAATTTTTGCATAATTCTCTTATTCTATTAACCTTTCAAGTACATTATTTACAGTGACTAATTATCAAAAGTAAATGGCAAAGGGGAATAACTCCTCTCAGTAGAATACAAATTAATAGAGCCCTGGCCAGGACCAGAACACTTGACAAAATGGTCCAGATGTTCAAAAATCTTTATCAAATCTTTTACTCTTTTTGCCTCTGATATGCAGAGATTTTCAAAGAAATAATGCATTATTTACTACATATTCACTATATTATCAATAGAGCCCCCCCCCCCCCCCCCCCCGTCCCCACCGAGAAACTCCAGAGGCTCTCACCATGGGACCAGAAGTTTGCTCATCATACATGTAAGTAATCACTTTGTTTATCTGATTAACACTAAGGAGCAAACAGGATAATTTAACAGAATTAATGCACTTTTACTATATAATCAATAGAGCCCTGCCCTAATACCAGAACCCCTGACCCTGGGGCCACGAAATTCAAAATTCTGGAAGAGGCACTCTTGCTCATTATAACTATGTACTTACTTAGTTTATTTACTACTCAGGATCAGAGAAGAAGATTTTCAAAGAATTAATGCATTTTCACAATATAATCAATAGAGCCCCCCCCCCTTTTTCACTAGAACCCCTGACCCTGGGGCCATCAATTTTACAATTTTGGAAAAGGCACTCTAGCTCATCATAACTATATACTTGGTTAGTTTATTTAATGCCCAGGAAAAGAGAAGATTTTCAAAGAATGAATGCATTTTCACTATATGATTAATACAGCCCCCCCCCCCTTTTCACCAGAATCCCTGACCCTGGGGCCATGAAATTCACAATTTTGGAAGAGGCACTCCTGCTCTTTATAACTATGTACTTAGTTTATTTGATACCCAGGAGCAGAGAAGAAGATTTTCAAAGAAATAATGCACTTTCACTATATGATCTATATAGCCCCACCCTAGCACCAAAACCCCTGACCTTGGGGCCATGAATTTTACAATTTTGGTAGAGGGCTCAATGCTTATTACAATGATGCCAACAGTTTTACTGCTTGATGTCCAGGAGTAAAGAGGAAGATTTTTTAAAGATTGCATTATTTTTGGTGGTTTTAGCCCCACCCCTCAGGCCCCAACGGGGCAGGGACCATGAAGTTCATAATTTTTGTTCCCCTTCACCCATAGATGCTTTATGCCAAATTTGGTTGAAATTGGTTGAGCGGTTTCAGAGAAGAAGCTAAAAATGTTCAAATGTTAACGCACGTCGCACGACGACGGACGAAAACGGATAGCAATAGGTCACAGTAATTAAATTTATATCATACGAAACTGACTCAAACTCCTTGAAACTTAACAAGAATTTTATATTTATAAATATGAAGAAAGCAGATTGTCTTTGTACAAAAAGTTCCCCTTCCTCTTTAATTGACAGAAAGTTTTTTTTAATTAAAAAATCTTTGACTGGGTATCGAAAATGCACTTACAATGTAAAAAATACAACTTGCTAGCTTGCATTGCAATGAGTGACATTAAAATTCATTTATGATATATATCTTTGGTGATACAAGTGATGGACTAATGACATAATCAATAAAAATAACAAATAATTATATTACAATTACTTGTATAAACAAAAGTAAATCAAAAGTCTATCACATGAAAAAAAAAAAAAAAACAACCAAAAAAAAAAAAAAAAAACACCAACGAAGCTCATGCCTTAAATTTAACTGTACATGAATATATTAAATATTCCCGTAATGAGAGAAATACGAAATAAATTAATGATCAGGTCAATTAAAAATATTTCTAAAAATATTTCTAATTAGTGATTGAAAAAAAGACACTAAAAGCATACCTTTTATCAACAATGGAACTAGTTTTCTGAAATCAATTTATGAAATTTCGTATGCCTTTTCTCAAAGTCAAAAATTGGTGGACGGATTGCAGTTTTCTTTGATTTTTTACTGTAGATAGTCCAGATTCTTTATAATTAATAATCATATTCCTGATGTTATATGAAAGTTTCCTTTCAACTTTTCAAAACGTCCCTTTTTTTCATTTTATCGTCGCTAGAGATCGATCCTTTCACACTGGAGTTCCGAAAGAAAATGAAAGCTGAAGATTAGTGAACGCTGAACGAACGGAGAGCGAACGTAGAACGAAAGATGAACTCAATGTGAACGGAGAGCGAACGCTGAATGCTTTTTGAACGGTGGACACAAAACTTTAAACGGAGAGCAAACGCTGAACGAACGGTGAGCGAACGGAAAAATGGGAAAGTGGAACGTTTCTGGGACTGTAATACGCTAATTAAAAAAAAAATAAAGATGGGGACCATATTGGCCCCTGTCCTTCGACGTGAATCAGATGAACAGCAAACGGTACTTAGAAATGCAAAACAGTGTGATGAAACACATAAAATGGATCAAGGAACTCAGAACTGAATTAAAAGAATTGGTATACTCTACGTAAAGTACGTAAAGACAATGCTAATAAGTCTTCATTGCATCCAGAATATGAATTTGAGTATTAAGTATAATTATGTTTTTATTATTTATTCAATATTACAGTGTAATTAGAACGAACAACTTTTATCTTAGATCTGGATGCATATTAATTAAGATGCCACTATCCAGAATGACGTTAAGAAAACTTGGATTCTGTTGCATTATATGAATATCGAGTGTAATGGTCATTTGTTGGTAATGGTGTGGCAACAAGGTTAAGATGAAACTAGACGTTCCTTAAAGGTCACATCAGTATAATACAACTCTGAAGAATAAATTCAACAAAATAAACTGATAGTTGAAAACATATTGCCCAAAAGCAAGAGAAATAGGATGATCAGGGATCGACAAAATAGTTACTAGTATTCTAGTACTCCGTAACAATAAAATATGGAGATAACGAACAATAATCAAGCTCAAAGTTCATCTAAACAATACTTATCGGGAGCAGAGCAAAGAAGGCCATCTAAAAACATCTTAGATCGGATTAGGTGCCATGGAGAATAAGCATCCCCTGTCGACCGGTCACACCCGCCATGTGGTCATTGTCATGATTGGGTAAAATGGAAAAATCTGTAGACAATTCAGTGTTTAAATAAAGTATGAAAAACGACAGTCAGCATTCGACTTAATGACAGATTGTATCTGCTGACAAGATAATTGTATCGACCATATAGAACTTGCAAAATGATGACTTCAAACGAGACTGCTGATATCCTTCTTTCATCAACTTGTTTGTCAATAGATTGCCTCGTTTTACAAATAATTGTTCGTAAGAGGAGCATGCTCTTGCGTATCGGATCAACTTGAAGGTAATAAGGGTATATTGCTACAAGAGTAAGGGAAGTTGACGATAAAAAAAGTTGAAGTCATGACGTTTATCATAAAGTTTTGTTGTTCTGTAACCATTAACTCTTTTTCTAGTAAAATATCCAAATATGAAACAGATGTGTCAGTAGACCCGTATTTTTGCTTGTACTTGACAATGCTTATACACTCCCTCCCCTTTTTTACTACCATGCAGACATAACAAAACAACTGTGCCTAAGCACAGTTAACCTGCCTCATTCACACATTGGCTCTCTGGATCTTTGAAATAATTTAATGTAAAAAGATAAAAGTATTTTTGACTCATTCTTATTTATCTATTATTTACAAGTCTACCTGACAATTAAAAACTAAAAATACATTTTGTACTATAAATTAATCTTTCTATATAGTTATCCCATCATTTTCACAAATTGGCCTTTCTTGGTCTTTGAAGAACATTTAAATCTGAACACGATTCGTAAAATGAAAGTATCCGCCATATTCGATTGAATTCTCGCTATATCTGAGGGCCCCTATATAAAGCCGCTGACTTGGCCACTGTTCAGTGTAATCAATCGTCACCGGTGCAGAAGGACGTATGCTATACAGCACTCGGTAGCGACAAAATATAACTAAGTACCTATTCTAATGCAGGAGAGAGATACCAAAGAAACTTACAACAGTTGCACAGGTCAATGCAGTATACAAACACTTGTAAATACACGTAACTGCAATGAAATGTAAACAAAGGTAATGCAAGATAACCAGCACGAACACGGATCGCCATTCCACACCAATACCCGTGACAATAAAGCAGTCAGGTGTAACGAATGCGAAGAGTATACCCAGTGCTGATATCGTAGATAGTAATATTGAAAATGGCGTATGCCTATTTACGAGTCGTGTTCAGCTTTTATGTCAAAAAATTATTTTTGACTCACTTCCATCAAGGTACAATGCAATTTATTTCTTTTACATGAGATATTGAGTAAAATGACAATACTATGTATATGAAAGTTTTTGTAGACAACTTGAGAAGAGAATTCTTAAAATTTATTGTTAGAACTAATGTATCATCCTTTTTATGAAATTCAACACCTGCACTAACTCAAAATGTAATATACCACTTAACTGGAAGCAATATGATTTGACATTTGTCAAATGTCAGGTCACTTCTATTTATATTTCATCAAAGAAAACAATATTTTATAGATAGTTACAATCTACTTTTTTAGGCATCCGTGAAAGCACATACATCCTAAGGTGCTGATGAACAATAATGAATCATCCCAGGTAGCACAACAACGCTATTAAAACGTTATAAAAACGTTATGAAAATGTTATGAAAACATTTTCTAAAAGGTTATTACAACGTTATTTTGTGTGGTTTTTTAAACGTTATTATAACATTTTGCAAAAACATTGTACTGTAATGTTTTAAAAACATTTTTAAAAACGTTTGGGAAACATTTTTAAAAACGTTTTGAGAACATTTCTTAAAGCGTTAAAATCAATTTTACAACATAATAAACAATATATTTCTTATAATTTAATAAATTTGAATCCATTCATTAATGTTGTCTAAACACTGTTTTTTTAACACCTGCACAATAAAATTACAGTCTTCCCTCAAATAAAATTTTTACTGTTTGAAAAACGAAAAGATCACAGCATCCTTATTCCATTAGAAAGTAATCTGTTTTACACTTGGACTTCTCTATTTTCTTCTGAAAAACAAAGATTTGGACATAAAACTTTGACTAAATGATTACCCATTCATACTCGTACATTTCTTTTTAGTTAAACATATCCATGTATTAGGGCATCTGACAACTAACTACACATACTAGTATATAAAAATCTGATAAACACAAAGAAAGTATGTTTTGGTATACAGTTGTATTAATAAACAAAAAATTACAGATGTAAGTATATCTATATATTTCTGACAACCAACTTCAAACATACCTTTTCATATTTAATGAATTCCTCCAGGAAGGTATGGATCAAAACTCTTCGTCCCACCTCTCATTAAATCGTAAGAGATTGTCTTTGATGCTTTGTAAGCCTTGTAAGCAGCAGCTATTAAAATGTAATGTGAAATTCATTATAAGAAACATATGAACATATTTAACAAAGGCGTCGGAAGCAAATTAAAAGGGGGGGCTAAACCAACAAAAAATTTCACTAACTCTATCTTTGCAAAAAAAGTGGGGGGCTGGCTAGCCCCCCCACCCCCCCCACCCCCCGGTTCCGACGCCTATGTTTAATAGGTAAATGAAAACAACACAGCATTACTAGTATTTAGATCATTTTCCATTTGCTGTATACATTTTCCAATGATTTATAAGTTGATATGTTAACTGAATCGTAATGCATTTTCTTAGCATTAATGGTGATAAAACTTACTCTTAATAATTCTTTAAAAGCTTGCACTTTTCAACCCTCTGTCCAGTCTCGTTGAATTGACCCATGCAATTTAATTGTATCAATGTCCTCATATCTTCACCCTGCATTGAAACCATTGCATTCATCTAAAATGAGTGTTATATTTTATAATGAAGTAAGTGGATTTCAAAATCTTTGACTGCTAGCAAATATATAATCAAGCCTGAGATTAATCAATTCCTCTCCTTTTCCTTCCAAACGAAAATAGGTTTAACGTGGCATTGTATTCTGTAATACATAACACAAATTCGGAAAAATCGAACAAATAATTTTACATCTCTTAAGAGTTATTTAACCTGTCTTGTTAAGACGCCCTCCCACACCCATTCTTATTCCCAACTATGTTTTAATTATGTTTTGAAACCTGCACATTTTTAATACATGTGAATTAACCCAAGTTTTCAAACAATAAATCGCCCGCCTAATTCAAATGCCAATGAACTTTATAAATTCACTCAACAAACATATATACACCTAAGTCTATGAGAATGACAGATCTAAGATTCTAAATGCATATGTATTTACAGCTACAATATGATTGCTAAATATACAGAATGAATACTATTTTAAAATTTAACATACCGTACGTTGACATTTGTAAGATATTCTCCTATTCCTTTTCTTTGTCTTACAAGAATGCCGCCGGGTTTTTCAAAACTGTGATTCTGTTGACCTATATAGATCACATGGAAATAGTTTGCAACAAGGATCGGCTGCATCAGCTCTGGCCATGGCATCCCGCTGTGTCACTTTCAATAAACACATTTTCGAAGGGGAACTTAATTCCCATAGCACAAATAAATGACTCCACTGAATTATTTAATTCAGGAACTTTGCTTAACAAATAATTTTTTAGAACTGTTTTTTTTCCCTCTCCTTGTTACATATAAATATTTTTTTACAATGGTATAAGAGATAAATATAAACACATTTCCGTGTTTTTTTTTGTTTTTTTTTTTTTAATTTTTGGGGTCTAAATTTTATTATCACAACTCGAAATCAATCATAACTCAAACTTTGGAGCTATTTATAAGAAAACAGAAGTTTTTTATATATATATACATGTAACGTCTTACACTAAATAATTTAAAAAAACTTCTGATGCTTGGTATTTTTGTAACGTTTTTACAATGTTTTGCAAACATTTTAAGACAATGTTGTATTCATGTTGCCTAATAACATTTGTATTTCATGAAATTTATAATAATTATTAAACAAGGTATGATTTTATTTTTAATCATGCTATTCAATTTATAGCTACGCGATATTTTATCATTATAGAAATTAGTGTTAAATGCTAAATGTTTTCTGAAAACCTCCTTGCAACAGGAACAAAATGTTATGAAAAACATTTTTAAAATGGTTGTTAAGAACGTTTTCTAATAACGTATTTACAACCAAAATAAAACGTTTTAAAAGCATTTTATAAACGTTTTATTAAAAACGTTTTCAGATAACATCATTACAACGGGAATAAAATGTTATGAAAACGTTTTGTGCTACCTGGGATGTCACGTGCTCAGGTTTTCAACTATCGGCAAGCGATCAATAATGCTTATTCACACTATCTATGCATTATGTAAAGTGTATTGTTTGTTTTCTTTTTCACTCATACTGGGATGCCACCATTGCTAATTGCTGGTAAAGGGTTGCAATTTAGAGTATTGAGATAGAGATATTTTTCATGCCGCAAAACGGGACAAGGGAACTACGTTTTTACGGTCTAATCTGAAGGACTGGTCTCAACGTTCCGCATTGAGATTCGAACCCAAAACGTAATATCAACTCCTTAGTTATCTGCAGAACTGTTGTTGTTGGTCTGATAAAATTGGGACGGATGACTAGAGAGCTACAGAGCCACCCATTAAAAAAAATATACATATTTATTGCACACAAAACTGTGGGAACGTTTCTCGATTTATACTTCTGTATGTTTCAGGTGTCATCTCAAAATACCATTAACCGTGTATTTCTAAATATTCTTTTTAACTTCAACAACAGTATATTTCTCACAATAGTTTTTAGAGAGTTACAGATCTGCAGCTACCTGCTACTCTAAAAGTCATGCTCTTTCTATCACACCCTAAGGGCGACTGTAGATTACACAAAAACAAATAAGTAGAATATACGAGCACAAAGACCACAAGCTCAAGAAATATGTCGATTGGAGTTTTTTTTTGAAAATCCTTTTCAATAAAGCTTAACTATTCTCCAGTGAATCATTAGAATTTACAGTCCGAAGACCACAAGTTTAATAACTAATGTTTATTGGATTTTTCGCCACTTCCCATCAAATTATATTATGCTCAAGTAAATCATTCTTATTTTCACTTAACATACAGGTATCTAATGTGTCAATTTAGAATATCCAAGTAAAATATCTTTTTAATCATTTAAACGTTAAAACACTAGTAAATATTTCCTGACACATGAATTTAATACTTTACACGAGGTTTTCGTCAAAATATATTCTAAAATTTGCCACCAGAATTTATTTTCAGAAATAATGCAACCAAATCTGGACATTTTTTCGCTCTGTCGACTAGGAAATGTTAAGGATAACACAACAAACTAAATTTTGTAAACAAAAAATAGCCTTAAGATCCCTCAATTCACTAAATAACATAGGTAATCAAAGATAACAAAGCTCGCCGTTAACGTCATCTATACAAGTTTGTCTTTGTAGGTTTTATAGTTTCTTGGGGAATTTTCCCGATAGAAAGTTTGTTTCCATCACCTGGAAAATAATACTCAGATCAAACAGGTAGGCCAGATGCTGAATCCAAACTGTGCCTTGATAATGTACATCCCTAGCTGCATCATTCATGCAATTTTGTTTTAAAAAGACTTTATAGTTACGTTGGAATAAACCAGTTCTAAGCCTTTAATCTGGTCACTCATCTGGTCAGATCTAAACTCGTATTGAGCATCCTTTGATGCATCATCCATGCAAGTTTGGTCATAAAATGGCTCAAAGTTACTTAGGAACGGACCTGCTCCATTAACTTGAACATGTTCAATCATCCTGATAATGTACGTTAGATCCAGCATTTGAAGCAGTCTAGTACATGTAGGATGCATTTTGTGATGCACCATCCATGCAAGTTTGGTCATCAGAAGGCTTTAAGTTATTCGGAAATGAACCAGCTTCAAAAATTTTAAACTCATCTAAAGAAAATGTATGTCGGACCTAGCATCCGCAGCATCTTTGGTAGTATGCTCCCTAAATACGTCATTCATGCAGTTTGGTCACCATTGGGAAATTACTTGGGAATGGAGCTGGTACTAAAATTTTAACCTAACCTTACTCATTTAGGAAATGTATTACAGATACTTGGTAATGAACAAAAAAATTAACCTGGTCACTTTTAAGAAAATGTAGGTCAGATCCAGCATCCGAAGCATGTCATTTTGAGATAATTATATTATGCATTGGTAAAATATTGAGTTGATCTATTTCGTTTTCAGCTAAGGGCACCTGTCATTCCTCTCTCTCTCTCTCAAAATAATTGTTTGAAATGAATGATTTACAATGTCAGAAACAATGTAATGCACAAGAACAAAAAAGAGTTCAATTTTTCGCCATTTACAGTCACTTTGAATTCTTGAAATCATGATTCGGCTGACGAAAATTCAAAGGGTTCTGGCAATTGTATTGCTCAGTTGAGGACATAGGCAAAAACAGATTCCTGTAAAGTTTTGCGACATCATTACCATCGAAACCGTTATTTAATAATACTTGTGTAGGCAATCATAACAGTCACATCCACGAAAAACTTGAAGAAACCGATTGAACGAGCTCGCTGACCTTATGTTGGTGTTCCTCTCTCTTCTGCACGTGTGCGTTGTATGGCTAATTTTCCAGCACTATTACCCCTGGTCCAATGTAGCCAGAGTTTTTAAAGACTTTCTCGCAAACAAATCTACTTGTATGGCCTCCGTATAGCCCAACTTTGATCTATGGGACTAACTGGACAGTAGGGTGGTAAGGCTTAGGAATGCCCAAAGAACTCTCGAACAGCCAAGGGGTGCCTTGTTGGAATAAGGGAATAATAACCCAATGAGAAGGATAATTGCAAAAAATGAACTTCATACACAGGGGATCAAGGTTGTGATATATGCGCGAATGAGGCATTTAAGAAAATTACGAGGCTCGATGTCACTTTCGAGAGCACCGTCAAATGAATTTCAATAAACTATGAATTATAGGTCAAAATCAAATGAGATTTTGGTCGTCTGTCTATGAAAGTTGTACTTTAATGTAAAATGGCAATATTAAGGAAAAAATTAGAAAAAAAAAGAAAATATATCAGACAAAATGAAAGAAAAAGTGAGCAAGCTCACACACCCCACGCTCCACCAAAACTCAACAATGCAACACGTAATGAATGGCACAGTGCATTTTAAATACACATTATAATTCAAAAAGGGGCGTTACTTGCAAAAAATCATCACATCAAAACTTCTCGCATATAAGGACATTCAAATCTTTGTATGTTACAAATTTAATTGGGCTGTAGTTTCTAGATAAATAATGGAATCAAAATTTCTTGGTAATATACAAATCTATTCATTATGTCTGAAATACCTACAAAGTTTCAGGAAATTCAGTGCAGGAGTTATGCTGAGAAACTGTTTTTTAAATTCCTCAGTGATTTCGATTCATTACTGAGTGTAAGTCCATGTCCAACACACGACAATTTACACATTTAAATAATTGATGGAAACAAAATTATGATGTAGTCATATGAATTTGTTTATATACTGTACTCATGAGATTATTTAAGGCAAAGCACCAATTGGGGGGGGGGGGGGGGTGAGAACTATCCAAGATTTTGTGTGTGTGTGTGTTAAATCATTAATATTTTGATCTCAAAATCAATAGGGGTCTTTTAAGGTCATAAAATATTTGACATGAAATTTCATTACAAAAGCTGATCCCAGTGGATTTCCTTATTACCTAGCTGGAAAGTTTCTTCAATAATAGGCAAAACTCTTAGGGCAAAAATAATGGAATCGGAATTTCCTGGTAATATGCACATCTACACACTGTGTACTAAATATCTGCACAGTTTGACCAAATTCTGTGCTGC